GCTCCTCAAGGAGCCCTCCTTAATCCAAGGAACACTTTGGTGGGTCAGTTTAGCAGAAGTCCTTGCTATTCTCCAGCCTCTGCAGGAGGCCTGGCCCCGACCTTGAAAGGAACACCAGTGTCGGCAATTAACCAATAACATTCACAGATTTCTTTTCTTTATTCAAGGCCTTCATCTTCATCCAACGTGGCTGTATCCTCATTGTTCCTTCTCTACCTTATACTTACTCTTACTCTGCTAAGTGAGCCCCCCCCCCAAAAACAAGGCAGTACTTCGAAGCTTGCTTTAGGATGAGCAAGAGAAATTCTGAGACCTTCTTGCTCGAACTGCCTTTACACCAGTGGAAATTTATCCAGTTTAACACAGAGCTATACCATTCCAGCAGCAGGCAAGGAGATGAGTTTAAATGCTGGGCATCTGATTAGCAAGGCAGTGCCTCTGCGGAGAGGCCTCTGGGTCATCCTCTTTGTAAGGAATCTAAAATGGAAATGCGGGAGAGTTACAAAATTCGGGAGAAGAGATCAAGATCGCGCTCACTTCCCAACTGATTCACCTTCTTGGACTGTTAAACACGCAAGACAAAACCCCTACAGAAACTAAGCCGTGTACACAAAGCTGGTTGAAAGGAATTTTCCCAGAAATCATTTTTTCCCCTAAATAATTATTAGCTAAACATTTGCAACCAAACAGCAAGGAAAAAAAAAATCAGGGTAATTTTATTTCTTACTACCTGGGGCTATCCAGTAATTATGCAAATGGCAGGGAATTTGTCACTTTGAGCAACCATAAGTGCGTAAAATAATTTGATTAAGTAAAATATGTCGCCTTAGTCATCATACTAATTTGACAAGGACTTTAAAAATGTCTCTCAGCTGTCTGCTTCTGGGGAAGAGATGCAAATACCCATCTTCAAAATGATGCTTCTTTAGGGATTAAAAAAAAAAAAAAGGAGAAGGAGGGGGAGGGGGAGGAGAAGAAGAAGAAGAAGAAGAAGAAGAAGAAGAAGAAGAAAGAACAACAAATCCAGCAGTTTCACCTTACCAGTAACTCAAGCCACGCAATGCTCTCGGGCCCAAAATTTTTAAAAAGGGACTATCAATCAGCGAGCCGGAGCTTTGTGACATGCACTCATTCATCCGGCTCATTATCTCGTCACCACAACCTCAGACTCAGTGCGTGCAAAACTCTCAATAGGCAAATGCCCACCCCGGGTCAGAGGCCCCGCCTGTGCACCCCACCCTGGCTGGAGACTCCTCCAGCCACCGCCTTAAAATTTTCATCCTGAAGAAATTCAAATGCCTTTGTAAGGGGGCCTCGATCACAACTGCCCAGGGGTGTCAGGGGCTTTCATTTCCTGTACACAGCTTTATCTATTCCAGTCCCCAGAAATTTGAGAATGTATGCGAACCTCTATACGCAGGGCTACCCTCCACGAATGGCTGGAAACACCTGAGTGGGTCTCCACGCATCACCAGGACGCGCACACACACTGACTTTCTCTCCGAGTAGTTCCCACATGCCTATGCCTTCTCCAAAGGGCCCGAGACGTTAGCAGATGTCACATCCTTGCAAGTAAGTCAGTTCAGACTGGAACCACCCGAAGCAAAGACCCAAGTCAAGGAAAATCGCACTCTTGACCCAACTGGATGGGTCTCTCTTCTGCTCCAAAAAATATCCCGTGGCCAGTCAGGCCATTTCAGTGACTAGGAGAGAACATTCCTATGACTGTTGGCTGATCTGGAGCATGATTTCCAGTTCAAACACTTGCAAGTGTAACAGATTTCAGAATCCACAGCAGGCCTGGGGTTGCACATTACCTTATCTCTAGGATCACAGCGCCTGGGTGTCGGGGGTCAAAAGCCTTCTGCATTTCCCTGGGAGACCCCCCACACCCAGGCAAAAAGCTGTTAGTCCCCTGCCCAGCTTAACAATTAGTGTTTGTCTCATATACAAGTCTCCCTTGAGTTTCCTCCCTAGGCAGGTTCTTGAGGCGCGCGCGCGCACACACACACACACACACACACACACACAGTCCTGCCTGCTTTTCAAAGTTGCTTCTCAAATCACAGGCAACTTCCTCCTTCAGTTCCGCAGTTGGGAAGCCTACACCAGTGTCACTGAAGAGAAGGGGCAATCTGTCTTTTCAGGAAGTAAACGGAGAAATGAAATGAAGCCTCCAAATGTTTAAAAAAAAAAAAAAAGACACCTGGGAAGACAAAATAAGAAGGTGGACTATTGGGATCAAATAGGAAATAACGTCACTGGCACAGAACTTTCGATCACCACCCCGCCCCCATCAAAGCAAAAGCATTGTTGGCAGTGTCCCAAGGTGTGCCCTTCCTCAGGTATCTGAAAATGCTTCATCAGAGGGACAGGCTGATTGCCAATGCAAAGATCATATATAACACACACCTTGCACACCGACCCTGCGTGTGTGATCACCTACAAAAGCAGGCTCTCGGGTTCCTTAAGAAAGCCACGATGAATTAGCAGGGAGAAATCTGCTTCTCCTGCAAACATCCTACAATGCTTCATTCCCAAGTTACCCATAAAGCAGTCTCACACAGCTGAAGGAATAACAAACTTTTCATTCCACCTCCAAAATAACAGAGGAACAGAAAACTCCCCAGGGGCCCAGAAGAGCAAAACCCATAGCAAGAGGATCCGGTCAAGCCTGGCAAGCAAACTATTTATTTTCATGAGGTTCGGATGGCAATGGAGTCCACAGCGGCAGGGCAAGGCCGAGCCCTGAGAACCTTGTGCCTCCACTCCTAGTGATCAAAATGAATTCCATTTCCTAGACCTGTCCTCTCCTGGGCCTCCATCTCCTTTCTGCTGGTCACCTGTTGACTCCTGTTACCCTACCCCTCTGAATTAGCCTTTCTATCGGCCCAGGCTGAAATTGCCAGGCCCCTCCCCCCCCCCAAAGTGGACTGACTTCCTCCTCTGCCTGCCACTTGCCTATTCTGGGATTCAAGTCAATGTTCTATCTCCTGATGCCAGCCCTGCCTCTTTATATCCACGGGGCCATCAGCCTCTGCTTCTTAACTTTCTAAAGGAGCTTAGGCTACTCATCTGGCTGAAGCCCAGCCTCATTTCTTTCTAAGAGCCTTAGATTGTTGCAAGCTAAAACTAAGCCTGTGCCTTTATAATTCATGGTGTGAAAAGTTCTGTTGCTGTTTGCCGCACGTGACTAATGCACTCTACCGAACAAAACTGGTCTCAGGCTAACAAACTGTTAAACTGAAGGTAGCTGTTGATATACTAACTACCTCCTCCAACACAGACCCGGTTAGGTAGTACATACTTTGCATATGCTCCCAGTACAGACCCACAAATATTTTGTTAATATACATTTGCATCTTGGTAATACATGTACCTATTTTAAGATCTTAACAGTCAAATACCCTCCATAAAAGGTGTGATAAACAGACCCCCCCCCCACCAAGACACAGTGATCCCTACCTCAAAACTCCACGGGCCACAAGTACTGTCTGTACTGTAACTACAGAGAAAAGTGCATTTTAGAGAACAGAAATCCAAACAGAAAAGAAAATGTGCTTTTGGCTACAGGGTTCACCTGCAGCATAAAAGTCAGGGATACAGAGAGACAGGGATTTAAAACACTTTCATCTCACAAGGAGCAAAGGAAATGCATTTGATTTTCAGAAGTCCGGTAAGTCTGTCACCCCAGGAACAGAGAGCTGAGCTTGAACAACCCTCTGTCATAACCCCAAAATTGACTTTACCCCCCACTAGAGACCAAACCTGACCATAGTTCCCTCTGACAGCAAGCCCCGAGTCTTTGGAGCCCATTTATGAATGGTGCCCTGTCCCAGCAGTCTGGCCCTCATTAACTGTACCCCAAGGCCAGGAAGGAGGGATTACTGGTACATCAGGAAGAGCACGATTCTATCTGTGGATGCAGTTATCCAACAGCCAAAATCTTGTCCAATTCTCTCTCTGTCAAACTTGTTCACTAACACTTTGACATTTGATTCCAGTTGCAGGTCAGTCACCAAGTAATGATTTAACACTATACACTCGGAAGAAAAAAAAAATCTCCTGTGTAGGCAGGGCTGTACTTGGGTCTGGAAGTGCACTCTCTCTAACTCATGCTGGGACCACCTGCGCGGGGCAGGACCAAGCGACAAAGTAGGTATTTGACAGTGCTGAGTCATTACAAGCTGTTTCCTCTGATATGTTACGCACCCCTGGGCCGTTTGAGCACTAATATCCCCCTTTCAGAAGGCAAATGAAAGAGATGTACATAGTGCAAAATGCAGCAACCCCCTTGTGGGCGAGAGACCACGGTGGGGAATCGAGGTCTAAGCATGGGTAGCAGAACTACACAAACTCGCGGCGGCTCTCCAGGTACTGAGTAACTTTATCCCAGACACCGAAAGATGGCTATTGGGATAGGGAGAGGGAATAGTCCCGCTGCAGCCGTGGCTCGGATCAGGGCCACACTCGGGCGCATTTTACTCTAAGCTGTTAAATCCCCCCGTAATTGGCGCATGGAGAAAGCGCCCGAGAAAATGATGCATAATGGATTTGTTCTCCAGGCGGCTGGAATGGAGAGTAGAGGACGCAGGATGCTAACTGGCTTTTCTTCCCATGTGCAGGTCACCTGAAAACCGCGCTGCCTGCCTCTTCAAGGGGGCTCCTGAAGTCCGCCTCTGGCTGCGCTTTCCCGGCGGAGAGGGGAACGGTTTCACGCCCACCTGCCCGCCGCCTCTCCTCCCCGGGCACCCCCGGCCCCCGCCGGCCGCGCGAGCAGCTGCCGGCATCCGCGGTCCCGCCGGCTCCCCGCTCGCTCGGCAGCCCGGGCCGGCAGCTCCCCCGGCGGCCGCCTCTGCACCACTCGCCAACCTCCGCGCCCGGCCGAGGTCATGCCCGCCTGCCCCCGGGCCCGGGCGGCCCCCTCCTCGTGCCTGCCGGCCGCCGGAGCGCCGGGCTGAGGAGGGGGCTCCCGCGGCGGAGTTGGCACGGGGACTCACCAGGTAGGCGCCCACCGTGCCCTGCGCCAGCATCAGGGCGCACTCGGACACCAGGAAGATCTTGATGTTAGAGAAGCAGGACACCTTCTTTTTCTTCTTCTTGTTCCTCTGCGCCTCGTCCCCCTTCAGCTCGCCGCTCCGGCCGCCGCCCGACGAGCCGCCCGGCTTCTTCCCCTGCATCCTTCCCCCGCCGCCGCCGCCGCCGCCGCCGGTTTCCCGCTCGCCCCGGGTGTCGGGGCCGCTGCCGGGCGGGGGTGTGCGCTGCGAGGGTGCGTGCTGTCCCCGCCCCGGGCCCGCGGCGGCCGCCCCCGTCCTGCCGGGGCTGGAGAGGTGGAATGCACAGCTCCTCGCCGCCGCCGCCACCGCCGCCGCCGCCGCGCGCGCTCGCCCCCTTCCTCCACCTCCTCCTCCTCCGCCCTCCCCGCGCCTCCTCCTCCGGCTCGGGCTGTGCCAATCACAGGGGCTCCTCGCGCCGCCCGCCGCCGCCGCTGCCTCGCCGCCCGCGGACGCCCGCCGCTGCCATCGTCAGCTTCCCTTCGCCCGGCCGGGCCGGCGCTCGCCTCCCCTGCGTCTGCTCCGAGGCCCGGCCGCCCGTCGCTGCCGGTGCGCCCTCGGGGAGGCGCAAGGGGGACCCGCTCCGGGCGCGCGCGGAGGGGTGCGGGGGGGTGGGCCCGGAGGGAGGAAGGCAGTGCCCGGCCCCTAGATGGCGCTGCGGGGCGCGGGGCGCCGCCGGCGGCGGCGCTGGGCGGTGCTGCGCGAGGAACTGGGGGCGCGGAGGTGGGGTGCGGGGGCGCCCCCGCTGGGCGGGGACCGAGTGCTGCGGATTCCGGGCGCTAGACGCGAGGAGGGGAGGGACGGTTTCTAGGAAGAGAGAGAAGACCGAGTATCCAGGAAGGGGTGGGCGCGCTCTCGTCTCCTCCGCTCGGCTATTTCTGGGGACAGATGTTGCGCCCCGGGGCTTGGGGAAGTGCCAGAGGTCAGAGCTGCTTGAGGCTTCCCGAGCCCGCCGGCCCCTGCTCCTGCTCCCCCGCGCCCCAGGGCGTGCGTAAACGGCTCCCGACCGCGAGGAAAGAAAGCAACTGAAGCACCCCAAGGGGGAAGTTCGATTATCCCGTCGGGAACCGCACAGACTATCGGTCGCCCCCCAGCCACACGGTCTAGGTAGCTGCACGGTCGCAGCGACCCCAGCAGAGGGCCTTGTCCAGCCCTCCATCTGCCTGGAGCCTGTCCTCAGGAATGATGCAGCCAAAGCTAAAGCCAGCGGGAAGCGATTAGCCACAGGCCTGCCTTGGTCCCCAGCCCTCCCCTCATTTTGTGGCCCGGGCCGCTCCCCTGGCCTTGGCCTGAAAGCTCGCGCCCCGTGGCAGCCGCTCGTTATAACCATCACCGGGAGTTTGGGCCACAAGGCACCACCAGTAGGATCTGCTACCTATTGGAAGCTCAGAAAAACTGGGAAGGACTGGATCAGTACCAGGAAGCACTCAGCAGCTTATGCCGGGGCCATTGGGGGGCTCAACCAATTATTTATAAAGCCTTTACTTAATAATGTCGGAGAAAATGTGCCATTCTCCTAGGCTCCCGTGTACAAATGCAGGCTTAAATTTGAAACTGAATAGCAATTAACACTTCCATAATGTTTACTTCCTCCCAAAGAACTTGAATGAGAATGGATGGTGTAATGTGGGGGTGTTGTCTTGCCATACCATTTAAATATAAACTGCTTCATCCTGTGCTTCCAGACATGATCTCACCTAGACTTGGTGTCCCTTTCAGATGCTTCCCCTCTTGTCTGTCTGCCATCGAATTGGCTCCCCCCAACACAGGTCTTTTACCATTTTCCCGGATTCCTGTCACCAGGGGCTGCACCATTCCCCGAGACTCTGTCACCTTATTGCAGGTCCTCCCCCACTCCCTGCACCTTCCCCTCACAGCTGACAATTTCTACTGAGTCGGCCTCTGGCCTGCTTCTGGGCCCACTCCAACACTCTGGCTTCAGGGGAGCACCTCTATTCTTCTTCCTGAGAAGACCCTTGATGAGCTAGCTCCCTTCCTGCCTCTGTGACTTGGCCCTGCAAAGCTGAGATGTTTACTTGTCCCTGAAGCTGTTGAAATAGCATGCTGAGTGCGTTATAGTCCTTAAGTGTTGTTTACCTTCTTTGTAATCACAAGAGCTAATGTTTCTCCTGTGCTTCCTCTGGCCAGGTCCCCATTCTAAGTGCTTTTCCCTGCATTTACCATTTACACCTCACAACCATCTAAAGTAGATACTATTATTAGCCCATTTTACAGATAAGAAAACAGAGGCCCAGGAAGGTTAACTAACCTTACCAATGTCACATATCCAGTCAATGGCAGGGCCAGCCTCAGAAACCAGTCCAGGTTCTTAATGACTCCCTGTCTCTTGGGGACAGCAGAACTCATGGGTTTCTACTTTCTAAATGGAGACTCAGAGATATATAGTGACTAGCCCAGTGTCAGACAGATCAAAAGGGACAGGACTTGAATCCAAGTCCAACTCTCTTTGCTCTATACCACATTGCCCTGTGTATAGTCCAAGAAGGACACAGGCTTTTTTCAGCTTGGGGCATTTATTTTATAAAAACTTAACTGTCTTTGGAGACATCAAACACTTCTGCTGCTAATCCAGAGAATTCTGGATTAGGGTTGTAGCTCTTCATATAATTAACAGTAAGCAGCCATGAAAATAATCCTGTGCCTGAAGCCTGAAAGAGTAATCAAAGTCAGCCTGAAGGAAATCAGGTGTCAGCCTCACAACCATCAGAAAGAATTTAACACATTCAATCTCCTTCCCTCCTTGCTTGTCCTTTATTTACCTATAGATCGGGGCCCTGGGGTTGATAAGGTGGGTTTATGAGCAGCAGGCGCTTCTGCTTGGCTTCTCTCCTATGCAGAGAAAGCGGCAGAGAACAGGGACCACCCTCATATCTGCATAGCACATGACTGCCGATTAAGTATGTTAATGCTCTGTATCATTCAAATCTCCCAACAGGGAGAGCTGTTCTTATTAGTCCCATTTCACTCATGAGTAAAAGCAGCATTTTCCACCCCAAGTTGGGAGGAACGCCCAGGAGGAAGAGGGAGATCAAGAGGGGATTTAGCCCCGCCATGATCTGTGGTTTCCCCTCCAACTAGCCTCTGAAATGAACCATTGACCATCATGTGGAAAACAAGGCAAATGGAGCTCAGAACGCATCCCACGCTTCAACTGGGCAACCTTAAATGTTGCCTTGGAGAAATGCCACAGCCACCACTTACAGCGTGGACCCTTCTCCGTCATCTATCCCCCTAGTGGTGGATGGTGAATTTAGGAAAGGTAGGCATTACAAAGGCCCAGTGGACCCTCGTGATTATTGTTGCCTCTCTACTCCTTTTCTGGGCTAGGTTCTAAATTGGACTTTCCTAAATTAGCTGAAAATATTGCTAGCTGGGGCTGGGGATGCATGACTCCTCTCTTTGTTGGTGACTAGAGGTATGACAAACGTTGAGAAGCCGTGTCATCTGGAAATGTGATGTGGGGAAGCATGAAGATCGGGTGACGTGGGAAGATAGACTGGCTTTTGATTCTGAAAATTGTACATAAATGCTTGGTGATTAGGATTTGGAGAGCTTTTCTCCCCCACTTTGGAAAGGACCATCAATTCGTTTATGTGGGAGAGAAGTGGGTTAACTTCATGGCCATGGAAAAAAAAAGTGACAATATCTTTCACTGTTACTGGGCTGTGGCAAGATTTCACAGCAAGCAGCCTCAATGTAATTCAACACAATGAGAAACTGTTGTTCAAGTAATTCACATGAACCATCCTTTGCCAGCTTCAATTTTGTTCACAGGCGAGTACAAAGTTGAAAAATAAATGCAAAGAATGATTTCTGATTGTCACTGGGATGGAAAATAGATGCTTAGATTCTCACCCTATGGATGGATTTTTTTTTTTCTTTTTCTGAAAATACAGCAATCATGTATTGTGTCCAACCAAGGATAGAATTGGGGCTGGGCCAACTTCTTTGGCTTGAAACTAATATTTGGGCTGAGTTGAAGCTTATTTTCTCTCTCTCTCTCTCTCTCGGAGTTTTTCTCTCCCCACCCCCACTTTACAATTAGCCTGATCCATATGCCTTTCTACCCATAGCCTCTGTTTGCTACCAACTATATTCATAGTTCTACATTTTAAATTATATTTCTTAATTTGAATATATCCTAAAGCTCAGCAAAGAAGTGAAAAGGATAAACGTCAGTGCAGATGCGATTTTAAGAATGTGCGCCCCAAATCCAAGGGAGATGGAAGGGGAAAAAAAAGAAGAAGAACGTTCAGGGGAAATTGGAGAACAGATAGGAGAAAACTCAGGATTTAAAAATGTGTTTTATTTATGCAAAATGAGCCTTGAGATGAAAGAAGCAACACAAATGATAAACATTTACCAATATTAGTGTATTTGGGGAGCTCATCCTTGGCTGCCTTCGACTGATATGTGGGTAAATAGAATGTGTTTACCCAAATAGACTGTTAGTTTCTTAAGAGCAGAGTGTTTTACTTTAGAAATAAAGGAGCCTTTGTCCTGCTCAGAATCTAACAGGCCTCCTGCCAAGAGGCTTAATACTTATGATTAGAACAGGAAAATGATCCAGAGGGGGTCAAGGTTTATAGAAGACTTCCTTCCAGGTATGCTCCCCAGGGACCTGCTTCTCCATCCCTGTGGCTCCTTCTTATAGCAGGACTTGTCCTGGAGTGCCTCTCACTGACACAATGCCTTTTCTCTCTCAAGGGCAAGTGTCCCAGTTTTGCTCCCAGTCTCAAAAATGCACACACACCCTTGTGTTTTAAGGATGGCTACTGATACTAAATGTGAGCCAGTGAAATGAGCCAGCCCTGTAAATGTTCAGAAGGCCCAACAGCCTCTCTGTCAAAGAGGTGTGGAGTTTCAAGGCTGATAGCATGCCAGGAGTCTTATGGGTCCCAAGCCCGGCAGAAAGTGACCACAGCTGCCTGCTCCCCGAGGGGTGGTGGGCTCCGGCCCTGGGTACCCCAGGTGGTCATGGCACACGGCAGCCCATGAACCCTCTTGCTGTTGGAACAAAGGGCACATGAGAAGACCAGGAAAGAAAACCCCAAGGTACAGGATGCCACTAAAACCTAAATCAAGAGTATGAGTAATAGAGAAAGCATCCACAGATGAGGGAGTGGAACACCCCTGCTCAGATTAGGGTCCTCCTCCACACCCAGCTTCCATCCTCCAAACCCTGTCCAACTCTTCCTCTGTGGAAGGGTGAAGAGAGCAACAGAATGAATAAGGCCATCCTACCTCCGACTGCCAGTTCTGGGCTGAGTTGCAGCCCCCAAATTCATAT